GTCCAAATCTCTTGTTTCTTTGACCCCCCCCAAAAAAATAAAAAAACTTCCCAAGAGTCAATAATCTCAATGTTTACCTGAAACAGAATCAGAGGTATCCTTCACCCTGCTGGACTCGTCTTTGAAGTGGAAGGTGTCGGGTAAAACACTGAACTTCAAGACAATGTTTTCCAAAAGTGGCTTGACGGCAGGATTTCCATTTTGAGTCCCCTTTTCTTCCCGATTTGCAGGCTGTTCAAGTGTGACACTGTACCGCCTCCTCTTCACCTTTTCACGTCTGCGTAGCAAAGAGAAGGACCGCCGCCTCTTCAGACTCTGAGGGTTCTTGCTTGTTCCATCAGGGACTTGAACTTTAGATGAAGCTGACCACTGCTGCTTCTTTAAACTTGAAGATAGGGATGCAGATAGATGTTTCTGTCTTTTTAGTTTGTTTCTGAGACTTTTCATAAATGAGCCATTCAGAGTTGGATGAAAAGTTTTCCTCCATCTTTCATAGATCAGCTGTTTGGCAGAGTATGTTTCTGGGCCAACAGTGTCAAGGGATTTCCTCCTTGGAGGGTCCAGATTTACTGACAGAACTGCAGGAGGTCTGTATTTTACAAAAAAAATACTTGGAGATAAAGTATCACGTTTTTTGTTTTCAGGTAGAGAACCCTGCTCTTTTTGCCCTGAGCCAAACAGCACCAACTCTACAGTTTTCGCTTCTGAGCTTGAAGGTTGAGCTTCAGAAATGTCAGAGTCCAGCTCAATAGAGCGCTTGCACTGCTTTTGCATCTTTAGTTCTGGGAAAAGCAGATCAAGGCCGCTTTGTCCGTTCCTTTTTGTTTTAGTTTGTTTATTTCTTACACTGTGGCTAGATTGATGGTAGGCTGTTTGAGTTCCCTTGCTTTCTAAAGCTGATTCTGCTTTCTCAACCAATTTAAGATAAACTTGCCTGCAGTTTTCTTCTTGGTCTGACAACTGCAAGACATTTTCAGTCTCTATGCTGCAAGATTTATCAGATTGAATTTTGTTGGCACTGCTGACGAAAGTACTTAATTGTATGGCTTCTGTTGATTTTAGTTCTTGTTGACAGTTGTCTTCAGATTCTGTCTCAGAAATTTCCAATGTGAATGGAGAACTTGCCGTTACAAAGTCAATAGCAGAAAGATCATCATCTTCACTTTTCAAGAAATTGTGTAATTGACTATTGTTACTGATCTTGGAAATTCTCTCGGCCTCTTGATCTAGATTCTCGGTCTCTTGAGAAAATGGAAAAAGTTTGTTGTTACAACTATGAGAAATTATCTCCATATCTTGCTCTGTTTCAGTCTCTTGAAAAGATGGGGAAGATTTGTCATCCTTTTCAGTCAAGTCGATGATTTGATCAAGTTTACTGCAAAGCTCAGAAGCACTTAGTGTTATGGTTCGACAGTCTATGACATCTTTGCTCTTTGCTGGATTGTCAGTGTCAGGTTTGGGGGTCTTGACAGATTTTCCAATACAACTTCTCTCCACTTTGCACAAGCATTTGGAAGAAGGCAGGTCTGGTATTGAATACATTTCCATAAACCTTGCAAGACAGCAAATTTCTTTAATCTTATCATCTGACTTGTTCTCCATGTTGTGAGTTTTTAATGTAGCACCTGCATCTTTGTTTACCTGTGTTTGCAAAGAACCATTTAAAGCAGTGACATTCTCACAACTAGTACTTGGATGCGTCTGATTTTGTACTTGCTCATAAATAGATCTGGCTTCTTCTGGAGGTAAAACTTCTATTTTAAATGAGTGATCCGAGTCACAGGAGACATCTGGCTTTTTTTTGGAAGATAGTGAATGTGGAGTGGATTCAACAGTACATACTTCTTTTTCTTTAACTAGGTCAACAGATTCAGGCTCTGCCCGTGACAAGATTTTGTTTTGTACTTCACTTATAATTTGCTCAGGAATACTTCCGCCAACCTCATGCACATACAAATGTTGCTTCAGAACCCAAGGGAAGCCAAATTCTTTGTCTATGTCATCTAACTGATGATTGACATTCAACCACTGTGATTTGTAAGGTTGCTCTGAATAGATTTCAGCATTGTCGAGGATGTGGTATTGTTTCAAATGGTCCTTAAAGTCAGGCTTAACTTCTGACAATATTACAGATTTTTCTGAGAAGCGTGTGCAGATCTTTTCAACATTAAGTGCAAAACTTGCACCGGCCTTGTAGTTTTGAAGCAATGCTTTGACATTTTTATTCCAAAACATGATTATTAATTTGACAATAATTGACTGCTTTGAATCAACTTGTGATTCAGGTTGAGCTTTTTCTGTCTCCAATATTAATTTATTTAGACCCTCTACAGTCCATGCATTTGTTGGGAGGGAAGAAAGATCAAGAACAGGTGATAGTGGAGGGGACACCATTTCCTTTTGAACTTTTGAACAGGTCTGATTTGCTGGTACCTCGGATGGTTTTTGAGCTGGACTTTCAAGTGCGCTTCGACGCTCATAATCTGGTAAAACAGATCCATCATGAGAAGCTGCTTCACTGGCTTCTTCTGGATTCAAATTTTCTTGGTTTAAATCAGATTCTTCCATCAAACAAGGAGCCTCTGTGTCCTTTGACAAATTAGGTTTAATGCACTCTTTCTCTGGAATATTTACAGATTCATAGATTGCAGTGTTGGAAGAATGTTCATTTTCCTGTGACAATGGTTGCACAATAGCAACAGCCCTTGTGCCGGTGTGTCCAGGCATCGAGTGAACAGATTTGTCAATTTGTTTGACAGGTGAAGACAAACTTGTTAATCCCACTGGAGTTTCTTTTGAGATCCTAGTATTGCCAGAAAGAAGATCTTTGACTGTCTTCCTTCTTTTACTTATTTCTGAGTTGATACTAAAGACCTCCGGTAAAGTCATTTGTTGAAGTGGAGCATCTGAAGTGAGATGTCCTATTGACATGGCACTTTGAGATAAAGATTGTCCAGATTGTCCAGAATCGAGTGATAAGGACTGAGTAGTATTAAAGTTAAAATTTTCAGAGTGAGCCGATGTCACAGGTTGTATATTTTGTGTAGACATTTGGGGAATACTGACAAAGTGATGACTGTCATAAGAAGGAGGGCACTCATCAGAGCTGACAGTGTGAGAGTTACTTAAACTGTCTGCAATCGCTTGATACCTCAGCATTTGCTGTGATCCACCACCAGGGTTTAAGGGAACATCATTTGATTTTACAAGAAAGGAAGAATTATCCTGGTTCATCATATTTGTGCTCCTTGAGTTGACAGGTTCTCCCCAGCTGTTATATGAGCAGAGATGAGTTGTTGGCTGTTGAGTTTGACTCGTGTTGAAAATGTGCAAAGCCTGTCCATTTGAGAACGACTGTGCTACAACATTTCCGTTTCCAAAAGGTTGAGAGGTTACTGTACCCTGTCTTGTTTGGTACCCTGAAGCTAATCTATCCTCGGCACAGTTTTGTCCAAACTGGATAGGAGCTACTTGAGAAGTCTGAACATTTTGTGTGGTTGCAAGCACAAATGTGTTTAGGTTGACCATTTGTTGTTGTTGAGGAGGTGAGGGAGCAGTTGCCGTGTATGAAGAAAGGGATCCTGTCGTGACTTGGTTTGCATTTTTGTATAAACTTTGCAAAGCTCTGTATTTCTGAAACGCATCCAAAGCTTTAACAGTTTGTCTCTCATTCACTGTAGCAATTTGTGTCCTGAACGCCTTCATGCCTTGCTGGGAATATGCAGTGTTTGGGCTGGTAGTATCGGGCAACCTCTGGTTTACTGAATACTGATGAGAATTTTGCATTGTGGAAGTCTGATATCCACAGGAGGTAGGCAAAGAAGAGTTTACACATTGTGCGGTAGAAGCTTTTTCTGGGTTTAAAAGAAGCAAACTGAGTAAAGGATTGCTTCTGAAGGTTTTTTTATTTACACGATTTGTTGCCATCTGGCTGGTAACATCTTGATTCTGCGAGGTCAAGTTAGTGCTCTGTGTTGGTTGGACACCCGAGTTTACAGTCATATACCAATGTGAGTTATTTGCAGACAAAGCTCTTGTTGCATCATGGGGAGGATGAGGAGCAGCTTGTGAAGCTTGTTGGGAAGGTCCAATTTGTTGGTATTCCCCATTCATCTGTGCAAAGGAATGCATTTTTGTACCTTAAGCTTTGTTGGAGGTAGATCTTCCTAAAAAGGGAAAAGAAAGAATGTTGGTAAGTGTTAAACATTTGCATTTTAAACTTGGAACTTTTTTCAGTTTTAAGTTCACAAAAATCTACCCTTCAATAGGGATGGGGCCGATCCGATATCGGCCTCCGATACCAGAATAATATACGTACCGGATCAACATCATGGATCGGAAATCTCTGCAGATTGGATCGGAAAAATCCAAGTTGGCTTCAAACTATGGAATGGATTTCTTGAACGGAGGCGTGTCTCATGAAACCCAGAGTAAGTAATAAGACCCACCTCACATTCAGGAAATCCATTTCATCATTTACAGCCAGCTAAAACGTGAGTAAATACTCTTCATATGGCTCTGCTGAGGGCTGAGCACTGAACAGCGCTGTGGCTAACGGCTAACCAGCTTTTCATTGTAACATGTCCGCTGTGCTAAACACCGCAAGACAGGAACGTGCAATGTTTGCAGAGCCGCTGTACTGTATAAACCAGTCATTTGTCCTGGAGAACACCATCTCTCTCCTTTTTAGCAACCACCCAGTCATTCACACACCCATCAGGAATTAACATCCATGTCACCAGTGGCTCCACTCTGAGTCAACAAAGACCTACTGTGACGATCGATAGCTGCATATGAATCTAGCTTGTTCACAGCGTGAGCTGCAGCAGCACCATCCCAAAAGATGTTAAGTCAGGTCCTCTGGATTGGTTCAAATAACAAAAAGAAAAAAAATTTAAAAATTGTAGAAACATTTAGTCTTTCATCTGAAAGACTTCAGGGCCGTTTACACGGCGCATATTTTGAGTGAATCCGCTCCTTTCTCTCTGCGGTTCTGCTGTTCATTTACAAGACACCAGTGGCCCCCCTCTTTGAATCCGGAGGTTTCTGAACCCACCTTCCAGCGTGGAGGTTTTTCGCAGACTGCCGGCTGATCATGTAAACATCTCCAGCTGAGGCTTTTGTGTTAAATCACATGTGCACGCGCGGACCAACAGCATATTTCTATCAACATGGCGGCGGACAGTGCTTTCTGAACTACAACTGATAGATTAACTACGAGATTAAAAATGTATTCCATCAGAATCTAGCTGCTGTGACTGACATCTGTGTTAGAAGACAGTCTGATCCAGTTCTAATGTCATTTATAGAACGAGGAACGTGCACGTGTCGCACTACACCATAACATACTAAATATGTTAACATAAATACCGTTGTATTTGTTATTCAAGTTTCAGATGTACAGGTCCTTCTCAAAAAATAAAGCATATTGTGATAAAGGTCATTATTTTCCATAATGTAAAGACAAAAATGAAACTTTCATATATTTCAGATTCATTGCACACCAACTGAAATATTTCAGGTCTTTAATTGTTTTAATACTGATGATTATGGCATACAGCTCATGAAAACCCAAAATGCCTGTCCCAAAAAATTAGCATATTTCATCCCACCAATGAAAGACAAGTGTTTTTAATACAAAAAACGCCAACCTTCAAATAATCATGTTCAGTTATGCACTCAATACTTGGTCCGGAATCCTTTTGCATGAATGACTGCTTCAATGTGGCGGGGCATGGAGGCAATCAGCCTGTGGCACTGCTGAGGTGTTATGGAGGCCCAGGATGCTTCGATAGCGGCCTTAAGCTCATCCAGAGTGTTGGGTCTTGCGTCTCTCAACTTTCTCTTCACAATATCCCACAGGTTCTCTATGGGGTTCAGGTCAGGAGAGTTGGCAGGCCAATTGAGCACAGTAATACCATGGTCAGTAAACCATTTACCAGTGGTTTTGGCACTGTGAGCAGGTGCCAGGTCGTGCTGAAAAATGAAATCATCTCCATAAAGCTTTTCAGCAGATGGAAGCATGAAGTGCTCCAAAATCTCTTGATGGCTAGCTGCATTGACCCTGCCCTTGATAAAACATAGTGGACCAACACCAGCAGCTGACATGGCACCCCACACCATCACTGCTTCACACTGGACTTCTGGCATTTTGGCATTTCCTTCTCCCCAGTCTTCCTCCAGACTCTGGCACCTTGATTTCCGAATGACATGCAAAATTTGCTTTCATCCGAAAAAAGTACTTTGGACCACTGAGCAACAGTCCAGTGTTGCTTCTCTGTAGCCCAGGTCAGGCGCTTCTGCTGCTGTTTCTGGTTCAAAAGTGGCTTGACCTGGGGAATGCGGCACCTGTAGCCCATTTCCTGCACACGCCTGTGCATGGTGGCTCTGGATGTTTCTACTCCAGACTCAGTCCACTGCTTCCGCAGGTCCCCCAAGGTCTGGAATCGGCCCTTCTCCACAATCCTCCTCAGGGTCCGGTCACCTCTTCTCGTTGTGCAGCGTTTTCTGCTACACTTTTCCCTTCCCACAGACTTCCCACCGAGGTGCCTTGATACAGCACTCTGGGAACAGCCTATTCGTTCAGCAATTTCTTTCTTTGTCTTACCCTCTTGCTTGAGGGTGTCAATGATGGCCTTCTGGACAGCAGTCAGGTCGGCAGTCTTACCCATGATTGCGGTTTTGAGTAATGAACAAGGCTGGGAGTTTTTAAAAGCCTGAGGAATCTTTTGCAGGTGTTTAGAGTTACGTCGTTGATTCAGATGGTTAGGTTAATGGCTTGTTTAGAGAACCTTTTCATGATATGCTAACTTTTTGGGACAGGCATTTGGGGTTTTCATGAGCTGTATGCGATAATCACCAGTATTAAAACAATTAAAGACCTGAAATATTTCAATTGGTGTGCAATGAATCTGAAATATATGAAAGTTTCATTTTTATCATTACATTATGGAAAATGACCTTTATCACAATATGCTAATTTTTTTAGAAGGACCTGTATAATGAAGCTCACTGAGCTAAATGAAGCTATCTGGACATTACGTAATTCAAATTATGTGATTAAAATTATGCTAAACATATTGTGTGTTATTAAAGTTGAAAATGAAGACATCAGGTTTAATTTTTATTTATTTATTCATTCAAAACCACAAACTGAATATCACACTAACACTGATAATTAAACGGAACACAAACACGTCAACTGTAAACTACATTAATGACCTGGACTCTGTTTTCATAATGGAATCTGGTACCACGTTGTCCATCTGGCTCGTTCAAGCTGTCACTCCTTTCATTAATGCAGCTTAAAACATCGAATGGATTTAATTAAAGAACTGAGGGGAATTTTAAATAAATAGTTCATCCAACATCTCTCCCTTTGACGTCCTCCTGCACTGCACCTGGGCCGAGCCTCGTTCTGAACCAGTCCGCCTGGTGGGAGACTTGCTTCTTCTTTCAGGAAAAGAAGTAAACAGAAGCAAACATTAAGCATATTGATTTACCTGCTGTAAATCAGCTACCGATTATCGCGGAGTAAAGTCCGACATCATCGACTCTGTTCTGGTCCACTCAACGACCGGTGTGGAGCTGTTAAGATGAAGCAGTCCCACTTGGCATCAAATCTGTCGACTCTTATCCAAAATCCAGCTTTAACTTGTGAAGTTGTTGTTAGCTGAGCTTTTAGCACAGAGGAAAGGAACGGGCCAAGGCAGCACGCATGCGCATTAGGTGAAGGTACGTAATTCATAGCGACAACTAATGACCTGGCATGGTAACTACAGTAGATTCAGAAGGGCGGGGGGGTTCCTCCGGATGCATGTAAACACAAAATCCGTCCGTGTCAACGCAGATCTTTTCCTCCAATTAACATACAAAAAAAAACCTACGTTTCTTTTCACAAAGAGGGCCTCCTTTATTCCTCTCGCAAACTATCGTTCCTCTCTATCCAGGATGTGAACATCTTCATCCTTGAAAGAGTGACCACTGGCCTGTAGATGAGTGTAGACCGCAGAGTCCTGGCCTGATGATGTTTATCTTCTGTGCTGGTCCATCCTTTTGGCCAGTGGCTGTTTAGTTTCCCCGATGTAAGACTGATCACAGCCCTCCTGACACTGAACAGCATACACAATATTGCTCTGTATGTGCCGGGGGACTGAATCTTTGGGATGGACCAGTCTTTGCCGTAATGTATTTTGGGGTTTAAAAGCCACTGGGACGTTATGTTTAGAAAATAAACCTCTCAATTTCTCTGAAACTCCAGCAACATATGGAATGACCACTGGTCTGGGTTCCTCCTTTTCACTTGATGGTTGGAGTCCTGTTTGGGTTTCTTCTCTGCTTTCAGGCCCAGTTAGGATATCCACATTGCTCTAGAGCAGGGGTCTAAAACTCAACTTACCTGGGGGCCACTGGAGGTAAGAGTCTGGGCGAGGCTAGGCCACAGAAAGTATTCCACAAAAAAAATAAAAAAAATAAAAATAAAAAACCTACAATTAAAAACCAAACTAAAAAATTACAATGCTGTTATTGCTAGTATCACTCAGCCCCCTGTGAATCGCAAGTGGCCATCAGGATATTAACGAGCCATTGTTAGGCCTCGTATGAGGCAAGAGAAATGTGCGTTTGTTTGCCCAGCGCTGTAGTCCACTTCTTGCTTTTGAAGC